CGGGCGTCTGCTCCTGCGGCGTCTGCTGGTAACCCTGGGAGTAACCACCCGCGTTCTGCCCCCCTCCCAGCATGTCCAAAATACTGAAATGTGCTGGGAACGAAGACATCATCACCCTCCGAGCGGAAGACAACGCGGATACGTTGGCTCTAGTGTTTGAAGCGCCAAGTGAGTATCAGATTTGGGAACTAACCTGTTAGCATTGTGTATTTGTATACTCTTTATAAAGCACAGAGGTGCAGGGAGGGAAGGAAACGACAACAAAATTCTTCAGAAGTGGGACACTTAAACTTGTGAAACAGCGTGGGGCTGAAAGCTCAAGAGAAAGACCTTTCCCCAGGCCACACACCCAGGTTCTTGGCAGATCGTTGTACTTCTGGAGCCTGCAAAAGACTGTTTGGGTCACTTTCATGTTTCTAGCGTTAATTAAGTGAGGTGGATCTTAACTGTCATAATCGATGTGGGTTTACTTGGGGAAGGGGATGATAAGGGGCAAAACCTGAATTCAGGATGTTTACTTCCTGGAGACACTTGATCAAGCTATGCTTTGGGTTTTTTTTAGATCAGGAGAAGGTTTCTGATTATGAGATGAAGCTGATGGATCTGGATGTGGAGCAGCTTGGAATTCCTGTAAGTAGTGGCCTGAATGACCACACCGCGTTCACATCAGACTTAGAGTTTGAGCTTGTGGTGTAACTGTCTTTGGAAGGACTAGACCAGCTCGAGTGTAGTGACTACACCCTGTTGGTAGAAGTTTAATGGTGGCGCTTCCTTCCAGGAACAAGAGTACAGCTGCGTGGTGAAAATGCCTTCTGCCGAATTCGCGCGCATCTGTAGAGATCTCAGCCACATCGGCGATGCTGTTGTCATCTCATGTGCGAAGGACGGGGTGAAATTCTCGGCTAACGGAGAGCTGGGCAACGGAAACATCAAGCTGTCACAGACCAGTAACGTGGATAAAGAGGAGGAAGCTGTAAGTGGAGCTGCTGCTGTGGTGTCTTCAGTGTCGTTCCCTGCTAATGTGATTAGTTCTGACTTAGAGGGTTAAAGCTGGGCGATTGGATTGTGTGTTTCTCTGCCTTATAAATTAGTTTAAACAAGGAGTTGCCAGCTTTACCCCTGGGGCCAGTGAGCATTGCTTGGCAGGACAGCGGGCGGCCGCACCAGCTGCCCTCGCTTGAGAATTCTGATTTATTTGAGCCTGGAGGGAACTTGCTGTGTTTGAAGTCTAACCTGACTGCTGGTCTTCTAGGTTACAATAGAGATGAACGAGCCAGTCCAACTGACCTTTGCTCTGAGGTACTTGAACTTTTTCACCAAAGCCACGCCCTTGTCACCCACTGTAACGCTCAGCATGTCTGCGGATGTTCCTTTAGGTAAGTAGAAGCAGCTTGAAAAGTGATGTAAGAAGGCTGCTGCCTCCTTAGAACGGCAGTGAGAGCTCTTAACTGAATGGCCTTTCTCTAGATCTTTTCGAATACTTTTTATTTTCTTAGTCGTGGAGTACAAGATTGCTGATATGGGACACTTAAAATACTACCTGGCTCCAAAGATCGAAGACCAGCAAGAAGGCTCTTAATTGGAGGAGGACTGAGGGGGAGATCGGCTCAGCTCTTCAGAGAGGACGACCGACCTGGTGAAGGAAACAGTGGTGTTAACAATCTCAGTGCGTCGGAGCGTCGCACGAGCTAGGCGTGTGGTGTAGATACCTTTTGTAAATATTTTTCGACTTACTCTTTTGCTATCCTGGAATATCCTTGGAAATAGGAAGCTTTCTGTAGTCTGTTCTGTGCTTCAGGTAGTCTCTTAGATGCTCCCCGAAGGTGAAATGCCTTACTCCTGCCGACGTGTGTTAGAAGGGGAGCGATATTTAACTCGAGTGAAGGTGACGTTGCCTAGAGTTTCACCCTGTAGCTGACTAGGGTTGCTGTTCCATTATGCTGCGGGTTTGTTCGACCGTACTTCAGTATATTTTTGAAGCTGGTATTCTAACTGAAACTTGGAGAACGGAAATAAAGAATATAATTTCATGGGGTTTATCCTGTTGAAATGCGGCTGGATGAATCGATGCTGTGTCAAACTGTGCTGATGTACCCGAGCTCCTTCTCTGCGGGCAAGATTGTGCTTTTTGCGCTGGGGTCACCAGCTCCTGCTCCGATGGCTTAGATGTGGCGAAAAGGAGGGAGTGGTTACAGTTTGAATAACAAATTGCTCAGTGAAGCTGCTTCCTGGGAGCAGAGGGCTGTGAAGCAGGTTTCTCCAGACAGGTACTGCCTTTGACAGATGCCGGAGCCACCTCTAGCAGGGGCTGTCACCCGGCTCTTGGGGAGTTCCAAAGAGGTGCAGCCCCGTGGAGCTGGGTGAGCCCTTTGGGGTCCGCTCTGCGGTTCCCAGCCCGCTGATGCTGAGCCACTCCTCAGCGTGTTGGATTCGGCGGGGGCCTTTGTCCCGTGCCTCACGCGCTTCTGTTGATGTGTAGTGTGCTCATCCCTCTTAATCGAAGATATTCACGGTCGGGTTCATGCTGTTGACGGATGTAGAAAACTGAGGTTACCAGCGTGTTTCACCCTGAAGGTTGTATCATGAAAAATAAGATTTGAAAACGGTTTCAGGCAGCTACGGTGGCTTTTTTCTTCCGTTATGGTATTGCTGCCAGCCAGCCAGAAACCCTTCCCTTCTCTCTGGAACCCGAGGGACTCAGCTTTGTCCCCAGTGAAGAAACATTGAAGCACAACGCGGTTGTCCTGATCCGTGCTGGGCGGTAGGTGGGGCTGAGACTGAAGTGCTGGATGTGTGTTTGTTTATTGTTTAGGAGGCTGTGCGCTTGCCACCGGCCAAACAGCACAAGAGTATCGAGCTTAAACGGCCTGAAAACGCTTGGAAAGCCCAAGTGATTCAGCAGAACAATTTCACGAGGTGGCAGCACTGCCTGAGAAATGAATTCTGCTGTGTCAGAGTGATCCAGCTGCCGTCCGACCTGTCCCTGCCCAACGCCCGGGCCGGGCTGTGTGTCCGCCCCTGCTCCCGGTCCCTCGCTGGCAGCAGCACAGATTTCTCAGCAGTGCTGGGGATGGCTCAGGCCCTGGTTTTCTTCTGCTGTGGTGCAGATGCTCCCAAAGTGGTTTTCAGGTCCACTTGAGCTTTGTCTGCAGAGCACCCCCTGTTTCTTCTCGTGAGCTCGTCCATTAATCCCGTGCCTTTGGAAAAAATGGAAACAACATCTGACCCAGCTGCCCTAAAATGTTTCAGCACTCACTGAGTCGCTGCCCAGAGCAGTAGTGGATCCCTTAGATAACCGAGGGGCTTTCTTCACCCCAAACGTGACTTCTCGGACTGGATCGCTTCAGCAAAGAGTCAAAGATTCGTGATGTTGAAACGGGAGGATCCTGGGTTTCAACGATGTGGAAAGCTGGGCTGTGCAAAAAGCAGCAAATTCTTTTTGGCGTAACCGCCTGCTGGAGCGGGGATTACCGAACTCCGGTTCACGCTGCTCTATTTGTAAATGCGCTGTAAAAGCAAGCCAGATGGCTCAATCGCTTGGTTTTGCAGCTCTAATGACCTCATTGAATACTCTTAGGTCAGAAATGCACACTTGGGGTTGAACTCGTGTCTCGTCTGCTTTCCGGGTAAAAGCTGAATGTTTATTTCACCATTGCTGTACCCAGAAACTCAAAATGTTCCCTTAAAAAGCAAAGAAACGAAGCAAACAAACAAGCTGGGGAGGCTTGGAAAATGCTGTGTGCGGCTCGATGTTTGAGAAAGTCAGCAGTTGGAGACTTGCCAAAGAGAAAAATAAGAAAGAGAATTCTTTGAAACTTAAGGAGCTTTTGCTGTGTATTCTAATTTCCTTAGTGCTGTGTGGAGCCCTCGGAGGCAGCAGGTCCTCAGCCCCGTTTCCCCGGAGGGAGTTAATACCCTTCCAGGCGCTGGAAATAATTTCCTGGTTATGGTTTGTCTGTCACGTGCTTTACGCTGTGTCTGGCAGTTTATATTCGGATCTTCCTTTAGAAAAACAACTTGATTTTCAAGCCTGCGTAGGAGCGATGGGCACGAACGTGCCGTTTCATTAAACCACCTGCAACCGCAGCCCTGAAAGGGTGAGATGAGCTCCGGGGGGGTCTCGCTTGACGTGGGCCGGGGTGACCGCGACGTAGCCCGTGCCACCCTGGGCGTT